CTGTAAAATATTTGTTAAAAGCCATTTTTGTTCTGCCATCAGAACATTAAATACTGGAACAACTGACATGAAACTGTCACGATGAATTTGAAGAGCCACACAGGAAACAAGGAACTGCAGTGTAACCATGTCCAAACACCCTCTCATGGCAAACAGAGAGTTCTCCAGAGGCAGGCAGTTTGTCCTGGGCTCAGGTGGCAGTGCAGGTAACAACACGCTCACTGCAGCCTCCTCCCTCCTTTCATTGCACCAGTAAGATTATCCATGACAAACAAATGCTAAGTCATGCTGTGTGTTACACCACAATCCTGGGGATCAAGCTGTCTCCAGCTCTCACTGCAAGCAAAAGCAAATTCGTGCTCCCCTCAGCCCCAGCCAGCCCTGTGTGCCATTAAATATGACAATACATGATAGAAAGCATGTAAATGTAACCCTCAGAGCTGCCACTCACTGGGATAAAAGCTTCCCTGATGTGCCAAACAAACAGGCCTCAGAGCAGATAAAGTTACAGCCAGGCTGGAATTGTTACATTCCCCTCTCAGGTTGCCAGGAGCTGCAGATTTCATTACCCTGTGCTGCCACATGAAATAGCCAGTCCCAAATATCCTGCCTGCTATATTGAATCATGACTTATTCACTGTCAGGATAAAAAGAGGAGTTGTGAATGGGGCTCTTGTCAGCAGGCAGGCAGCAAACAGCTGACACATGGGATAGGTTACACATGTGCAGGGCTCACACTAAAGCCCCAGTGCTACCTTGATATTTCTATCACTTACATTCTGGAAATAATGAAAACCACACTACCAAGCTAAAAATTAATTTAATTGAAGCAGTGACTGTGCAGGGCCTTGAAGAATATTTCTATCTTTTAATTTTAATGCAAGTCAGATTGTGTTTTCAGAGGGAAAAACAACACACAGGACACCAAGATGAGACTTGACCACCAATATTTCACTGCTGTGCTAAGCCAAATAAAAATAATTGAAAAATATTAGGACCCATCAGGCAGCTGTTTTGTCAGAGGTCTTAGAACAACAGGAAAATGCAGCTCAAATTAATATATAAAATCATGAACAGAAGGTTCTCCTATGATGGGCTTAAAATATCAGATATTATTCTTTGCATAAAAAAGAAATAAAGTGTTCTTATGTGTGAGGCTTATAAATTACAGGATTTTACAGGTGGGATTAAAAGTTTGGTTTAAGAGGTTTGGGATTGGTATAATACTGGCATTAAGAAGCACTTTAGCCATTATTCCAGTACTAAAATGTTACCTTTAACTTTGAAAAAAGTTTTATGTTCCAAAAACACTCAAACCCACAATACTGTGCAAGTTGTAAACTCAGGCTGATTTTATAGTGAGTAGTTAAGAAATAAAACTGCCTGCAGTAGTCAGAGCATTTCTGAAAGCCACAGCCACCATTAGCCCCAAATACTTTAATAAATAAAACCTTTTTAGGAGTCCTTCATAATGAAGAAAAACTTTAGAACATTGGTTAAAACACAGTTTAAAAGTTTAGCTCTCTGTATTCTTTCCACATTACTCCACTGAGTCAATTTGCACTTAAATCCTTAAAATACATCTTGAAATTTTATAAAAGGCAAATTATTTTAACTCTGTATTTCTCCAAGAAATGTGGATATTTCTCCAATTGTGGATATCTTATAGCAACACCTAATGTGGTGTTCCTCTCCCATTCCTGCAGCACAAAGAAAGAAAATTCTCCATGAACAAGGGGTTTCCTTGGCAGTGTTCTCTCCAAGCACAAATTTTTACACTCAACCCACAGAGATAATTAGAAAATGTTTCAATTTATCTATGAAGGAATTAGGGGAGGGCTAATTAGAAATAATTCATACTGAGACAACAGAATTGTATTTCATAATACCCTCTGGCTTCAGAACTAAACCTGTTTTCAGCTGTTGGAATCTGAAAAAGGGATTTTCATTTGGAAGAGGGCAAAACAAGATCCTGCTGTACTTTGTGCAGTATTTAATCAGAAACACCCAGGAACAGAGGCCATTAGAGATCAGATATCAGCCTATATGGACCTTAGGCTAATGCAGCTTGTTTGGACTTCTGTCAGGGCTAGATAAACCAGCCTATCACATCAATATTTATATGGCAAAAACGTGGAAGTCCGATTAAAAAAGGAATAATGGAGTCCAGCAGCCTGTACTGTGTGTAAAATAGAGCTAAACAAACACTGGGGCTGTGATCTTTGAAACACAAAGAGGTAAGAGGAGTTCTTCATATCTCCAGCTACATTTCCCACTTACAAAGGCACCTGAATGCTGCAGCAGTGAATGTCTCTTGTGTGAAATATCACACAAGCACAATCTAGGCAGATAGCAGCAGTGGCATTAGCAGAGCTTTTCAGCTGCTCCTTTGGAAGCTCTCAGACAGCCCAGTATTCTGCTGCTGCTGCAGCCTCTTGTTTAAAGCACACAAAGCAGCTGTTTATCCTCCCCAGTCACCAGCAGGTGAACCCAGTTCAATATTTATCACAGGCTTTCACAGATCACTGCTAACCAAGCAAACGTTTTAATTAAGCTGGAACTTGCTTCAAAGAGCTCATTGAAAACGTCAATCAGCAGGAAAAGGATCAGGTACGGTGTCAGGTGAGAGCATGTAATACAAATCCACAACTTTCTTCATCCCATCGTGGTAAATTAGCCCATTCTGGAGTCCAGACCCTGATTGTAACAGGCTGCCAGTCCCCTGGAATGTGTAACAGAAGTCACCCAAAGCCCATTGTGCAGGTTGTAAGCAATATGTTAAACTGCAATGGGCTAGCACATTAAGACAGATTCTTTTCACAGTTGTTTTTTGATACCCCAAGTGTTTGTTACACTACTCTCCATTTACTGTTTACTTTCTTTCCCTGCTGGAAATGGGGATTCCTTAACCCAGCTGCCCCAGTTTCTCAGGCCATATGCTCTGACAGAAGCAATCAAGAGAGTACCTGAGGTTATAATTTCCCCTTTAAACTCACACTGGAGCTGCCCTCCCTTGCAGGAGTTAATCCAGAGCTGGATTCCCAGGCTGGGAGTGAAGCAGCTTTGGGTGCTCAGCCACACCTGCAGGTGCTGGATAGAGCAGTGCTGGGAGCAGCTTTGGGTGCTCAGCCAATGTGCAGGTGCTGGATGCAGCAGTGCTGGGAGCAGCTTTGGGTGCTCAGCCAATGTGCAGGTGCTGGATGCAGCAGGGCTGGGAGCACTGAGCAGCTGGGAGCAGCTTTGGGTGCTCAGCCACATGTGCAGGTGCTGGGTGCAGCAGGGCTGGGAGCAGCTTTGGGTGCTCAGCCAGTGTGCAGGTGCTGGATGCAGCAGGGCTGGGAGCAGCTGTGGGTGCTCAGCCACACCTGCAAGTGCTGGATGCAGCAGGGCTGGGAGCACTGAGCAGCTTGGAATGAAGCAGCTTTGGGTGCTCAGCCACACCTGCAGGTGCTGGATGCAGCAGGGCTGGGAGCAGCTTTGGGTGCTCAGCCAATGTGCAGGTGCTGGATGCAGCAG